TCTTTGATGTCTTTACAGTGAATACACTGTACCCGCAAATAGATCGACTACGACAAGTCTAGAGACGAAACCACACCCAATACCGAAGAAAAAGTTTCACTTTCTTCCTGTCCCTCTTTCTAAAGTCTCCTTTTATCACTTAGAAGCCATTTTTCGACAACATCTTCGAAGCTAGTCCACTCGGACCCTTCAGCAGACACGACGGACCCAAACCTCTGTCAAAGACGATAGGCTTAATAGAAAGACCATCCTCGTATTTTCGGTACTCTATTCGAAACTACAATAACTTGGACCAGACGCTACGCGAATAGAGATACAAATCGCGAATCCTACTTTCGACTTTGCTTTTCGAGTAATCGTCGCTCCCTCGCCAGCTCTCTCTCTCTCCCCTTCTCTACGGCTTAATCGAATTCTGGTCGTGTCGCCAGTTGTATCAAGTGTATACTGTTAGCCGAGCGTACGAGCGGGCCGTATATATTGCTCAACAATGTGTACATGCGCATTATTAATGAGCGACGCTTTGCGCGTAGACTTCGCACTCGCGCGGCGGAGCACATGTTCGAAACACGTGCGCCGGGACGCCTCTAGCACGAGAGATTTCATGGACGTCGCGTTACGAAAGACGCCTTAGTCTCTCTAGGGTTGTTCCCTTCCGCCTCGAGACGATCGCGAGGCGAGGGTCGATCGAATTTCGTCCGCTCTGGATCCCAGCTTCTACTCGCTCGATCTTCCTCGCGAGGATTTTGGACGCTCTAGGACTCGGTCGCCATTTTCTAAAAAGAATTGGACGATCCTCTGGAAGCGACCTTCGTGGACTACCGCGCGAGAGCCGAGCCGAATGTTAAACGGTGACACATCGAGGACGCCGGAGGGACCGTAAAAAGCTCGTATCTCACCGGTGGTTGCAGGAAGAAATCCGGAAAGCGGTGTATTTACAGCCGACTGACGTTTCCCAGTTTTTCGTCCAGTTTTCTGACAAAAATTGACCTATTATTAAGCACACAGCGATGTACGTAGGTTAGCGCGCGAGAGCCGAGCCCAGTGTTAAAAGGTGACGCACCGAGGACGCCGGTGGAACCGTCAAAAGCTCGTATCACACCGGTGGTTGCAGGAAGAAATCCGGAAAGCGGTGTATTTACAGCCGACTGACGTTTCCCAGTTTTTGGTCCCATTTTCGGATCAAAATCGGCCTATTATTAAGCACACAGCGATACGGCACGTGACCCGAAACAGCCGCGCGAATTACGGTTTAACGAGGAGGTTATCCAGCTAATTTCTCGGTAATTCGAGCACGCACGAGCGGACAGAAGCGATCCAACACTCGGGACGAAGCTTGGAACAAGACTACTGTTCTCGGGATCGGAAATCGCGTAATGGAACCGAACGAAGAATATCGCGAGGAATTTCGCGAGGAATGCGAGCTATGCGAGGTCCATCTGACGCGGACTCATCGTGCTCGATTTCCTCCGCGAAACAGAGGCTCACCTAGGTTCCCGGAAACGGCGTCGGGATCGAGAGGATCGTGGAAACGTGCGCGATCTTTCGTATTAATGGCGACTCGACATGCGCGAAATCGCAGATACGTTCTCGCGTTTCATCGGAAGGATGGAAAAATCGTGGAAAAGCAGGTCGATTTTCAAGCGTTTCTCGGAACCAGTTTTACCGATCATGTAATTGCATATTCGATATCCTTCGAGCCATTAAGTGTCCGTTCGTTTAAGCTCGTTTAACGTCCGAGCTGGAGAAAAAAACGTTCGGCTACGAAGAAACTTTTAACTCGACGTTGATTGAAAATTAAATCGATTATGAATTGGCTACACGTGCAGGCGTTCCTTGTTTATTATTGTTCCACCGGCGTAGAGGAATTTTTCTAGTCACGCGATACCGGGCTGAGAAAATATTTGTCGACGCTGCAGTGCCCCGGACCTGCCTAACAGTCCATGAAATGTCTCTTTGGTGCCCGATGGGACACCACGAGTCTGACATTCGACGCTTCGTTCCACGCTAATTCGTGATAATTTTAACGTCCAGTCAGCCTTACCGGCTCGGCTCAGGTAACGCGAAACTGGATAATCTTGATGCGTGAGCGGCGAGGACGCGCAGGTAACATCGACAGGAAATCGATCTATCGAAAGGTCACTCCGGCAGCTAGCTGGGACCACCGATCCACCGGCGTATGCTAATTCGTAGAAAAGGAGAGGAAAAAATCGCGCGAGTCATCGGCGAGATATTTCGCGTCTCGGATCTACGCGCAGACTCGCGCGTCGCGCGCCAAATTCAAATCGAGCCACCATCCGAGTCCACTCGGGATTTCGCAACCATCCACCTCCTTCTTTTCCTCTTACCTTTTTTGCGTATATCGAAAACGTATAATCTCACGGTCGACGATGACGAAGAGTCTACGACTTGGCACATGCGAGATCGAAAACCGAGGCATCACCGAGATAACGATGGATCGCGTCGAAAGGAACTGCAGAAAGTTCCTCCTGGCTGTTGAGATATTTCTTTTTTTCCTCGCCGGTATTAAATAACAATCGGCGATTAGATAGAATTACGCAATCCTGTAACCTTTATTATCGTAATACCACACGGAACGCGCGGCGGACAGCTTTGCGCCCGATGCTTGTATGTACGAGCACGAGATCCTCGCAGAAATAAATAATCCGCGCGAGCTTCTACTTACGCAACCGAAGAATCGCCACACGTCTCTGTCGTCCATACCTGCCGTATACGTCTCGAACGTTCGTCGTGCATCGACCAAACTTTCCCCGCGAGATAACGCGTCGTCTCGATTCCCCTCGTGCGTGTCGCACCAAGCAAAACAAAATAAAGAGAAAAGAAAAATATGTATATAAAAATGCAACTTGCAGATCACGACGAGAACCTCGTCACGACTCACCGGTGACCATAGCGCCGAAACGTGGAACCAAGCCGTTCGATAATCATCCGCGACATCCGCGGCGCGACTCGCGCCACTCGAACGTCCGCGCGGAATCCTTGCCGCGAGCCGGCGGATCGCGAAGAGAGAGACGAAGAGGAAGAAGGCCACTGCGGAGAGCGATCGTCCGTCAAGATTGCCTCGGACGCGACAGAAAATCGGAGAGAAACCACGCCGACGACGACGAAAAGCGCGGGACGCGAGAGGAGCGATTGGTCGGCGCGGTGTCGAGGCGGATTGCCGCGGCTGCCGAAGCGGATTGGCTCTCCCTTCTTCCGTTTCGCCTGGCAACGACCGCGCCAAAGCGCTTTTACAGACGGCCCGGCGATAACCGGAGTATCGCGATTCGCGAGCTACTCTCGCGTAGTCTCGCTCTCCTCCGGCGCGGCGAGACCGGCCGAGGCGTGTGAATCACGAGAACGCGTATCAAGGGCGAAGGAAAGAAGGAGCGAACAGAGGGCAGTGATTTATCGCGGAAAAAGGAGGAAGAAAGGCAGATGGCGGCGGAACGGGGTGGAAGACGCGCGCGCCATCTAGCTCGAAGGCGTCCTCAAAGGTTATCGTCGCGGGCCGGCAACCGCGTGAATTTCCCGGGTGTTCGCGAGACGAAACAACGCGCAGCAATATTTCTAACAATAATATCGTGGCGGGAGATAAGGCAGGGGAAAAATAGCGTGGAAATGCATCGACCCCTTAACCAGTCGCCGATGAGAACAGACGTATGCAGGGGGCGCCACGGGAGACTGGCGGCCGATGGAGGATGATGGCGAGTGACCGTGCCTAGTGGAACGATTCGTAATTAAAAGGAGGCCGCGATGGGGAGGTAGAAGACCCTGTAAAAATGACTATTCGACGGATGGCGAATTCCAATATCGGAGACAAAGATACGCCGTATCCCTGACAACTACCGTACTTTATCGACGATTCAACGAGGACGTCGTACGGATATTTCGTCGGATGGGTGTAAGGGACCGTTTGGGCTGTAAAAATCGACTCGTAAAACTTGGGAAACGGCGCGAAGATACGTGGCAATTTACATAAAGTCGCTGTTTCGCGAAGATCGGTTTGAAAAGGAAGCGAACAAATTTGTGGAATTTGGAGCGAAGAATCCACCATCGTGCACAGTGACGAGGACATAAACGAGCCGGAGATTCGCCTAGGGGTACGCGGTTATTAAAGAGAGAAAGCGGCTGAACGAAAACTCATATCGCCTAATGGAAACACTATGTCGATTGTAATATGAAATTCGACATAACTTTAATTCCTCCATAAAGAGTTACAACGCGTACACTCGTAGCCCCCTCGCGATACTCTAGAGGTGAACAGAAGAAGCGACGAGAGGGGAAAAGCTTCAACCATCTGAATTCACAAAAGCTCAAATAGAAATACTCCTCGAATTTATCCACATTACGTCGATGATACATAACGCGTAAGTTAATCCCTTAAGTCCAAAGAAAGCTAGGATTCTACAGTCGCTAATTCACAAAAGCTCAAATAGAAATACTCCTCGAATTTATCCACATTACGTCGATGATACATAAGTCCAAAGAAAGCTAGGATTCTACAGTCGTTCTGAACGAGCAAGTTCGATTTTCCTGAGCTACGAGACGAATGCAAACGAAATCGAGAAGAATCGTTACAGAGCTTCTAACATGCGAGGAATCATCGGAGAACCACGTTCAAACGACGAACGTTTGATAATTGCGAGCATTTTTTAACGGAGCGTAATCACGAAGGCGCAAGAGCGAAGAATCTGAGGAAAAGAGAGAATTCTACGCGTGGAAACAAAATTTACAAACCTGTATAGTAAGCATGCGATTTATGTGTAAAAGAATAAAACGCGAAACGGCACTGAAAGTCTCGGCGGAGATCGGCTGGTGGAAGGGAGATGAAATAAAATAAAGAAAAAAAAAAGTAGGAAAAAAGAAAGAATTCAAAATACCAGTAACTGGTTCCGACTCGAGATATCAATTACTCGGCTATCTAGGCGTGATCGAGTCGTTGAATATTAAACAGTAATGATCAAGCATGCACGGGGAGTAGAGGGAGAGATCGAGTTTACCGTGTCGATAAGGCTCGATCGATGCGTTTCCGGTGCACCGGAGCTGCAGGAGCATTTGAAGGTGCTCGTGTCCCGGTTCCAAGGTGCCGCTGTTGGTCCTCCTGAGTTCCTGCCGTCTCTTCTCAAGGTCGGGTGCCATTAGGTCCCCGAGGACCTATGGAGGCCCGGGAGTCGATCTCTCCAGTCCTCAACGATGCGTTTCACGCGCCGATCGACGATCACCGACGATTGAAACGATCGATCCACGCGCTTTCACCTCGCACTGACTCGCCACGCGAACGAGCTTCGATCGAAGATGTTCCATGTCAGTTACACGGTCCACGTGTTCTAGCCTGGCCCGATCGATCGCGCACGATCGACCGATCGACCCAACGATCACACCGCTGCCCACGTTCTTGGATCGTTCCCAAGCGAGTAGAACCGAGTCACGACCAAGTCTCTGCGCAAGTTCGACACGGATCGAACATCGAGAAACGTCGATAGCCGACAGGATACTCTGCCCTTCGTCCACGTCTCACGAAAGGGTCTGTGTGGCCCTTCGATGCAACAGGGATCACTGTCTTCTCGATCGACACAGCACCAGAACGACGTCGCCGACGCGGGAATACAGACGAACAGACACCGAATCGATACGCCGTTCGAAACGCATCGCACGATCACAGCGAGTGTCAGACGCGGACTGGCGTTCCTCGTCTCGACGCCGATCGGCCAACCCGGCATGGTTTGAATAGCGAGAGTAAATAAGCCCCCACCATGGACAGCCACGCAACACGTTTATACGCTCCTGCATCCCCGACCAGCTTCGGATATATCGAGGAGGAAGGTGACCAATCAGCAGCCGCTAATTACCGACCGTCTATCTATCGCATCTCCAAGCTACTGGCTTCGCCGACGTGGTACACGTTGCTCGCTAAAGACCAATTCTTTTCCCGTATTTTCCACCATTTCCTCTCGTTCCGCGGAAATCCACCTCGACCAAGCTCTCCTATCTCTAGTGGCCCCCTCTTTGCCTAAAACCGATACCCTAAGCCAAAGTATTGCTCCCTTTTCTCATCATTTTCGTACCCAGGCTGATGTCTTATTCGAGGAATTCGGTAGGGAAGACAGAAGAATGAATTTTTGAATTTTTGTCTTTTTTTTTCTTTTTTCTTTTCAGAGAGACGTAGTCGGTAATGAATGGCCAGGTGGTTCGTAGAAAATTAAATTTGAATATTTAACGCGTCTCGCGTTGGAACAAAGCAACAGGCAGGCTCGAGAATGCCCGCGCTCTAATTGGCGGGCATCTAGTGACTTTCGAATGGGTTTCGCCCCGAAACACAGGCGGAGGCTTATCTTGCGCGGATATAGCTGTTTGCTTAACGCGTAACTGTACGACTGGAGTTAAGTTAGAATTCATTATCGTTCGAGTAATTGCGAACGGTACAGCATTAACCCTTCGTGCCGGAGGAGGTCGCCGAGGAACGAACTACTTTGTTCCCTCGCGGTTCTAATTGGCTTTAGCGCTTCGACTTTTTACACCAATTTTGCAGTTTACCGTTGTATAACGAGTTAATATGGCGGCCGACATCATGGCGAAATCAAGGACACGTGCCGATGAGTGCAAGCGTACTCAGGTTTGAGTTTGAACGCGAATTATTTAGAAAAGGAGGCAGATTTCGATGGAACAAAATTTGTTGGTTAGGTTTCCGGTGTCTAGTGGTTTGGTACTCGACGCGGTCGCAATTGCGCGTGCGCAGTGGCACGGTAGCCGCGTCGTACCATCCGTAGGCGAACGTTAGACGGAGAATAAAGATTATCTGTAGCCTCTCGAATGCAATAATAATTTCCATGGAAAAAGGAAATAAGAGACAGAGATATCCGGGAAAACTAGGTCTACTGGTGCGTTCAAGTCCCTGACCAGGCCATAAAACAGCGCGCCATTTCCATGAATGAGCTCATCCGATTAACCTCCTATTGTTTCCGTCCTTTTACTTTCGGTAACACCTCTATCGTTGTTTCCTCGCAATAGTGGATTAGTAGATACCCTACCTGAAGACTGGAGACTTGTCAGAAGCGTTTCGAACCACGACTGACCTACGAGATAAACAGGGACGATCAGAAGACAATTTCATACGAGGAATGACGTAGAAAATCACGTAGAGAATCACGTAGAAAAATTCTTTACTCTCTCTCTCTCTCTCTCTCTACCTCTCTTATATCGTGTCTCAACGTTAATTGTGCCTAAAGTTTTCCCACAGTCGAGTGAATATACTGGATAAAAGGATCGTCGATAACAAGGACATTGGAAGAAGAACACTCTCGAAGGGCCAATAATAACAATTCCGTTTTCAATCCCGTGACGGCCGTGGATAGAGAGCTAATCAAAGGAAAATATCTCGCAGATAGACTCGTAATTAGAACGTTAATGACACTGTAGCTCTCGTTACCAGTTGACGTCAGCGAGAACGGAGAAAAATCTCGTGGTTCGCGTGGATCACGTACGTCGCCTGGAACGATCGAGGAGCCTCCAGAAATTACGCAAGGTCGGGACGATGAACTGGATGAATGGGCCGTTATCTATTTGCTTAATTGCAAACGCGATTTCGCGACTAAGATTAACCCCTTGCCTTACCATTTACGTTTCCGATGGCGCGTGCCATAGTCAACAGCAACGTCAGACACGTCAAGACACGTCGAGGCACTTGGTCCGAACACGACAGAGAGTGACACTCGACTGAGACAGGAAGACATGGACGAAAATGAACTACGAACTTGACTCGCAATGTTTACATTCGGTCCTATTCGTATCACGGCTCTCGCCCGTGATACTCATGTTCGACCCGATACCCTGCAACGAGTCTAGCGCAATATCGCAGAGGAAGGTATTAAAAACGGAGAAAAGTTGGGAAAAAAGGACAAAATGGCCGATCGCATTACCTAACCTGGCCAAAGTAGAAAGCAGACCGAATAGACTGAACAGATGAAGGAATAATCGTTAAAAAGCTCAATCCAAGATGTCTGACGATCGACTCAGCAGTCAGATAGACGAAGTTTGTTCGGGAAAACGAGTACGTGCCAATCCAGATACGTGAAACACGAGTGCTCGGGCCAGAACAGATTGTTTGTCGCCATGATCGATAGTGACAACAAGATTTGACGAGTAAGCGATTTTATTTATTGATCAAGACACAGATAATCCGATAGCACGAGGCAAATTTAAAAACCGCCAGTCCTCCAATTCGATTAATTAGCACCAAAGGTTAATCATGTGACCATGTGCGGTCTCAATTTCTCCGGTTGCAAGGAGTAAACACCTCGTGTCTCAGTTTTAAAACAAATTCTAGTTTCTTCGTTGATCGAGTTACAAAACACACGATTTACATATCCGAGATGATTACAAAATTTGACCTATTGCAAATTTTCCTTGTTACCGCAGATTCGTCAGGACTATTGTGGCGAATGTAACGATCTTAGATAAATTGATCAATGATAAATCTACAATACATCTTCGCCATGTTTCAGGTGCTACATTCGTGTTGGCAATATTTTAATTTCTCGAAGGTGAATAAATTATTAAGTTCTGGCCATCGAGGCTGCCGTTAATAGCCGATAAACGGGCGAATTTTTATGGCGATACAGGCGCGAAGAAAAGCGGGAAAGATCGAGATTGATGGGACTATGAAGGGCAAAGTTGAGCGCTTAATCGCTGACGAATGGCACAATGGTAAGGCAATTTGCAGTAAACCGAACGTGGATAAAGTGGCAAGCTCATTGCGATTTAACGTAACGTCCATCCTGCAGGAAGCCATCGACTACTCTATCCGTAAGCTCGACCCAAGTAGGAACTCTGAATCGCGTTAAAATCACCAGTGCCTCGACGTCAACGAATGAACGATTTCGGTCACTCGGAATCGAAGAATCCGACTGACCCCGAGGTAGCTTTACGATCTCTGCCTACGAAATTCGCAACAGGTTGTTGGGATTTCGTCACGTCAGGAGCCCCTTTCATTCTCTCCCAAATTTCGAAATTTCCTAGATATAAAAACAAGAGATTGATATCTTTTTTGTTACCAACTCTGACAGCGTGGGACATTTTGGGACGGACCAATTATTAAATAATTTTCTCGCCATTTTAACTGGAACTTACTGTATACCAAAATGTAGTAATTCCGAGGACCAAGAGGAAAGAAACCATCATCCACCTCTCTCTGTACAATCTTTGACCTATCGTGCAACTTCCAATCAGAGGAGTCCCAAATATTTAATATTACCGATGATATGCTAGGCAAAGTTTGGATCAAATTGGTTCCAGCAGAACAGAATCCACAATTTTGCTCCAAGTCCAAGCTCAATCAGCCATCTTAGGGAATGAACTCGAAAAATCGGCATCCAGAAACAACGAAAGAATAATGAACATCTTTTCACCATCGCTAACAACGATGTAGTAAACAAATCTGAAACGATGTCCATCTAAAAGCAATGATCTGGACACGTGACCCTCGACATTAAGGTCGCTCTAATCGAGTCAGCACACTCCACTCGCGCTAACTGGTATCTACCCGCGTGTATGTAGAATTTTTTCATCGAACAGCCGCCAATCGTCACGAGTGCTTCCGAACCCGACGTAGCCGGTTCCTTATCTTCGCACCCAGGCTAATCTAAAGGCGGATACACAACGCGCACGTCGGGACGCGCTGGTCGGGATCGGCGATTTTTCGAGAGTGTCTACGCTGTCGAAATAGTTGAACCAGGTCTGACTCACCTCACGTGCTCACAGAAATGTGTCACGAGCATGCCCGTGAAGCTCGTTTCAACGAAACTCGGTGTCACGAGAGCGAATCGCGCGAGAATTCGCGAACTAGGCTTTCACCGAAACGATCCACGAGACTTTCGAGGATCCTCGATCGATTTTGATCGATCCGCGACGAGGAATTTCTGCGCGGATTTTCCCAACTCGAGTAGACAGAGGAAACCGCTTCGCCTAATTTTGGAATTCGAATTCGACTGGTTCTAAAACGGTACGCCGATGAGAAAGATTAGGCAAGTCGGTGATGCAGATAAAATTTTATCTCTTGCTTCGGTAGTGCTATCGAAAGGCACTCCTACCGTCGTACTTTCTTCATCCTGAACATATATAGGATTATTAATTTCGCGCGGATGCATAATCGATACCTGGAACGAACGAATTAGCATTCGATCGCGACGAGTCGCGGTAATTATACGATCCGGAGTGAATGGTGCCGGTCGATTCTCGAAGATCGGTAATGGCGAGAGGGAAGCGCTAATTCGGCTCGTGTCTATCGCGTCACGATCGCACGATTATTATAGATCTGCCGATAGATCCCTCTTCTGCGCGAACAACAACGAGAGCAAATTAATTCGGAGAAGATAAAGAGCGAGACACGTGCGATAAATAGATTCGACGCGAAGCTCGAGTGTCCATGCGAAGGCTAAAGACTCGAATATTAACATCGGTCAACAAGATCACGGATCCGCGAATGAAAAACGGAGATGTTATCGGGGCCGAATAATCGAGATAAGGATAAAAATGAAAAACTGTGCTGAGTAAAAGGGCATTAGTTTCGAGGACTCTCTAACAATATCACCACGTTCTATTTGAAATATTATTGCCCCTCGTTTCTTGTTTCTTAGACACATCACTGCGTTGTTTATGTACTGCGCGATCGGTGAAACGAGCGAGGAAGATATTTTGACACAATTTCAAGTATTTCCTAATATTACTACATCTTTATGGCGAAGATATTACTAAAAAGATCCGCTTTTTTCTTAGCCACGTCACTTATTACGTCAATTACCTATTATTATAACTATACGACTGACGAAAATTTACAAAAAAGAATAATTGCGAATTTTTGTATATTTATTATATTCTAAGATGTATATGTTAAAATTAATTATTTATATTAAAATTGGAAATAGGACGTGAATAAATACTGAGCATTCTTTAATATCCTATGTAAAGCCTAGTTTCAATTTCGATCTATGTATGTTATAAGATAAAGAATATAGAAAAATACGCGAATTATCTGGTCTCCTAACTTTGGGTAGTAAGTATAGTTGGTAAAGTGATTTTGATTTAGTTTCGAGCACTCGCCAATAATATTATTGCACCCTTACGTTTAAAATATTATCACCACCCTATGTCTGTTTTCCCTATGTCGACGTACGATGGAAGACAAATAAATAAAATAATTTTCGTCCTTATCCTATGCTAATCTCTCGATTACTCGTCCAAACAGCGAGGAAACATAATTCTTTAATTACCTTCAGCGCCGTGTACTAGAAATCAGCATAATACGGTAGAGATCAACATCCGATTAGTCGGCTTTTCATTGTCAGGGATCAGCGACCGCGTGTCTAGTAATCGGATTTCCTCGCTCAGATATTAAAGACACACTCTTAACGTCGAGTAAGCCGAGATATCGACATCGCAAGCTTCTAAACATCGAGTGGCGACAGAGGATGACGTGCGATGGTACTCAGGAGTGCAGTATTTTATCCCTTGCAACTTTACCATTTGGTAAAATGGATACAACCTAACCTAACCCTCGGATTTTTCATCGATTCGTCCACTTGCTCCACCACGTGTTCGAGAATGGCGGGGTAATTTGCGAAAAATGGCGGAACTGAGATTCCAAGGACCACGTGTATCGAAAGTGTAGGAGCAGCTCGAGGCGAGCTGGAATCGAGCAACGATCTCGGCAATGCGAAAATACCACGCGATAAACACGACCTACGTAGAACCAGTAGCGTGTACACGCGGTCCACAGGCAGTGTCAACGAAAGCCACGATACGTATGCAAATTAAAGCGCGAAGGAACATACGGCGGCGTGCCGTATTTCCAGATCGTCATCGGCATGATCTACGAGACCTGTT